AATTAATGTTCTGGGCCCACTTCCAAGCCAGACGAATCTTTATGTTGACCTGTAAACAATTGCAGTTTGAATTAAACAATAACTATTGATAACTTAGAACAATGCTTTGAAAAAGCTGCTTATCCTTACCCATGGAAACAACTCCCTTGAGTCAAGTCAATTCCTAAGTTAAAAATATGTTTTTTTTTTATTATGTGAGGATTATTAGTGTGCCAATGTGTGGCCTTTGTAAAAAATATTCATGTGGTGCAAAGACTTTTAATCAGGGGGAAGTCTTTTCAAACAAAAAGTCTTCTTTTGTGATAACTGAAGGTACAATACTGTTAAAGTTGGCCTGGTAATAATGTAATTCCTGCGGTGAAATTCATTTTTGTTTAATATTTCCACAATGACTTTAATTTTTCTTTTGTCTTCTCCACTGCAATAAAAAAAGAAAAAGGAAGAGCAAAAACAGGGGAAGTTTTATTAGGCCACTCAGAAATTTCCTCCTCAAGTAAATTTGTTTACTTTGTGTTCATTCAGCTCCTGGTTGGTGATAATTTTAATGATCCTTTTTAGCTGAAGTGCATTAAATACTAAATTGTATATTATTGTATATTTGTTTTCATCTTGTTCACAATAGTTGGATTATTTTTCTTATAGTGCTGAAAAAAATCTTGTTTGTTAGACATTTTATTCCTTCTTTCAAATATTTGGAAGTCAATATGTGGATAAAATACCTAATATAGCAATAAAAATAAAAAATGAATATCCAATTAGTTTATCAAAGTAATAAATAAGTTAATTTAACATGAATCAATATGATTTAATTTAATTTTATACAGAAATATATTAGCATTTTAATGACTCTAATAAAAAGACATCTCTGTGCTTGAGATATACAGCCAAAGGACTTAATTTAACAGATGCTAATATAATGTTTAAATGTACATATTCTAAATAATAAGAGATAAACAAGGTTTCCCAATCAATATTCCACTTTGTTTTTAATTTCTTCAACAGATTTGGTAGATGTGGAAGTCATACTAAAAGATGCTAGCTATATTTTTTTGCATTTTTTCCTTTCATAACTTAAGCCTTTCAGAGTCTTAATGCCTAACATAATTACATTCTACTTGAGCCTTTTATGATAAAGCAAAATGAAAACCCCAACAATAAATTATGCTATTAGAATTGGGCACTATCTTAGAGCACTCTGGATAGAAAACAATAACGGGACCAAGCAATGGCTAAAGGTTGGCCAACATCTCTTTTCTGAAACACACAGATACCTATAAGAATTAGACTACCTAGTCTTACCTAAAGAAAGCTTGTTTGGTGTAGTAGTTAAGGCATCAGGCTAGAAACTATTCTAGTCCCACCTTAAGCATGAAGCCAGCTGAGTGACCTTGGGTCAGTCATTCGGTCACTCAGTCTCTTACTGAGGAAGAAGACAATAGGAAACCACTTCTGTAATCTTGCCAGGAAAACTGTAGGGACTTGTCAAAACAGTCGCCAAGAATAATAATAATAATAAAAGAAACAACTGATTCAGAGGCACAGGAAAAAAACCTCATTAACTTATTGCTCATTATTGCATTTATACTCCATCTTTCCTCTGGGAATTGAAGTTGCTCTCTTGCCATCTTTTCCCACAACATCTACCTGAGGAGTAGGCTATGCTAAGAGAGAGTAACTCTTTTTTACATGGCCTAAGTTATGTGACTGGGGATGGGATTTAAATTTACATCTTTCCAGTCACTCTACATCACTCTTCACACAGAACTCAAACCTTATTTTATTGTATAAGAGCTCATTGAGAGAGCAATCAATATATTCTCATGAGCAAGATTTTTGAAAACATGGACCTTAATATTCATATTAGAATATTAAAGGACTGTTGTAATTAGTTTTGTTTAATAAAACAAAGACTAATAATATTCTATGTCACCCAAGAACAATCATAAGTGTTATTACTTTAGTCAGTTCCATTATGTGCTGCCAATTTTAAAATATAATATTTTCTTATACACATTTGTTACTCAGTGTTAACTGGTTTTTTTTTTTTACTCCTATATACTGGATTCAACAGGACACAAGATGACATAAAATAGAATAGTAGTAATCCAGTTACTGCTATCAATATATGCAATGCTCATTTTTGCCCTCTTTTATTCCAAAATTAGATTTCATGGTAGGATTTGTTAGCTTATGGAATATTTCAGAGGGCATAAGAGCCTAGTGTTTTAGATAAGAGTTGGAATCAAGGGTTTGTCCCTTTCTTCTACTGCAGTGGTTCTCAACCTGTGGGTCGGGACCCCATTTGGGGTCGAATGACCATTTCATGGGGGTCGCCAAACCATGCTGTCCACCATTTTGTTCCCTTTTCCCTAGCTGTCCTACTCCCTCTTATTGGTGGCCACACCCACTTGGGGGTCACCACAACATGGGGAACTGTATTATGGGGTCACAGCATTAGAAAGGTTGAGAACCACTGTTCTACTGGATTCAGTTATAGCCCTACAATGCATTTATACTTGATTGGAGGGAATGTGATCATATCCAGTGCCAGGTCATAAGGTTGAAAGATTTTATTTTGGGATCTTCCTATTAAACTGGGTTCTATTGCTTTACTTTCTGCCATAGCCAACTCCCAAAGAGAAATTCTTTCAGCTGAGTCTACCTGTATCATGACTGTTAAGAGCATGACTACAGTACCATTGAACTGGTGGAAGCACTATTCACTTATTGCTCACGTTATGTGGAGGGTTGCTTACTAACATTTATGGGATTCATTGTCTATTTGCATCGTTAATTTTCTAAAATCAGTTGTTATAGAACTTCCAAGTCTTATCGCTCTTTCTGCCCACAAAGAACTTTGAACCTTGAAGAGCAAAGGAAATTCAAGGTCTCAGTCTTTCTTCTTGCAGTTCAATGACTCACCACATGGGGCAGATCCCTGGAGCTGTTGACAGTGTTACCTCTATTTCTGCCCTTCATAATTTGGGCAGCGGAAGCATTCCTTGCCAGCACTGTCCAATGAAAGTTTTCCTCCCCCCCCAAGCAAAAGTATGCAAAGTATGTAATTACAAGACAAAAGTAATCCCATAATTTCTGATCTTGATTTCAGCTTCTACTTTCTCAGCATCACATACTCCAAACCAGCTTTCCCCAACCTAATAGCTTTGAAATTGAAGTCTAAAGAATTGGGGGTGTGCACGAGATTGTGGAATACCTGTTCTCAAAGGACACATCTGTACTCATTCTCTAAATCACAGACACAATGCTAACAGGATTATCAGACATCCCCCATTTCACTGGCTGATGGATCACAAGGATGAATGGTAAAGAGAGATTCCAAATAAGGATTTTGTTTTATTTATTTGCATCCTGTCTTTATTATTTTTATAAATAACTCAAGGAGGCAACCATGTACAACACCTTCCTCCTCCTATTTTCCCTGCAACAACAATCCTGTGAGGTGGGTTAGGCTAAGAGACAGTAGCTGGCTCAAAGTCACCCAACTGGCTTTCATGGGTAAAGTGGAACACAAACATATGGTCTCCTGCTTTCTAGCTTGGTTCTTTAACCACTAGACAAACTGGCTCTCAGATTTTCATGTGAAATGAGAGATGACATATTTCATGCAACTCATAGGCAACTTAGAACCCTCCATTCTGGCTTTTGTGTGGATTACAGTTGCTGTGCTTGTAAAAGATTGTAGTTGATCAGATATTCATGACAATTTCACAGATTGTAGAACTGACCCTGGTATTGACAACATTCACCAGGGCTGAATTCTGCAATGGGTCTACATTCCAGGTGAAGCCTGTGACTCCAAATTCCTTTCTCTTATTGCTGTTACAGAGAGCCAGTTTGGTGCAATGGTCAAGACACCAGTCTAGAAAATGGGGGAGAAGATGAGTTCTATTCCAACATTAGGTACAAAGCCAGCTGGGTGACCTTGAGCCAGTCACTCAGTCTCAGCCCTAGGAAGAAGACAACAATGGCAAACCACTTCCAAAGAACCCCCCCCCCCAAAATGTAGTGACTTCTCCAGGCAGTCTCCAGGAGTAAGACTAACTCAAGGCATCAAAATAATAATACTATTAATACATGCTGTTAATAGATAAACGTTGCCTGTGATTATTCTGGCCTTCAACAGTCTTCCTATGTCGAACTCCAACCAGCCTTTCAGTCTTACAACAACAACCCGAGGAGGTAGCATAAGCTAAGAAGTAGCCTTTTGCCAAACAGGAAACCTTAGAAAGCAGCAATAACCGAAAGCCGAGCATTTCTTTTACCGTCCAGCTTTCCACTCATGTGACCAAGCAGGGGGAAAAAAAAAAGTACAGTATTGAAAGCTGAGCTAAACATTGGAGAGCACGAAGGTGAATTGCAGGCATTGCAAACACGCTAAGGGGCAACCCTGGATTTATAGACACCCACACCCTTTCTTTATTCCATGCTAAACGTCTTTTCGGGCCGGGCCGGGCGGAAGGCACAAAAGGAGAGGAAAAGCCTCCAGCGAGACTAGACCAGAGACGCCATCTCGTGCCAAGCGCCTCGTGCTATCCAACTCTTCACTCCGAGGGGGGAGTCGAAAGGTCGGCGAAGTCGCGTTCCTGTCTCCTTCGGAGAAGAAAGAAAAGTCCCTTCTGGGCTCTCTAATCCCCCCTCCCTCCTTTTGCTTAATGAGGGCGAGGGGAAAGTTTCCCGCCTCCTGGCACATGCTGGAGCCCTTGGCTCCCTTTCCCGCATCCCGACGGCAGCGGGGGCTTAGCCAGGCAGCTGTTCCCACCTCCTCGTGCCTGACAGCCCCTCCCCGACCCTCGCAGCTCTCCGGGCCGCCTGCCAGCCGAGGCTTCCCGCCCTCCCTGCGTGCCTGTGTCTCCGCCGAGCTGAGGGAAACTGGCCCCTCCTTTTACCCACATCGACCCCTCCCTCTCTGCCTCCTCCCTCCCTCCCTCCCCCCGCCCCCCCCGCCAAAGCTGAAGCGGAGCTGGTGTTTTTCCACTCACCAGGATGGGTGATGCTCAGCGCTCGCTCATTAGAGAGCAGACACGAGAGGTCCGGAAGAAAGCGCTTATAAATTACTGTTTCTTCCTTCCCATTGCTGTTAGTCTGCCTTGCCGCTCGCGCCGAAGCACATAGGACGGAAGCAGAAACGGCGAAGACGCTGGACAGCTACCTGGTCCAAAAAGAGCAACTGCTACAGGTAACCAAGGCGAGTTTTCGGTCTTTTTGGGAGAGAAAGCGAGCCCGACTACCGCCGCCCTCGCCTTCTCGCCTTCCTTTCTAGCAACAGGGAACAAAGCGGGCATATGAAACATAACCCCTCCCAATGTCTTTGTTATTTCCTCCTGTCCAGCACCAGAATGGGGGGGGGGAGAAAATCCCCAAACAAACCTCCATCAGGGAATAGTGCTTTTTCCTTCTCCCCCCCCCTTCTTTGTGCCGAGTTCCCAAACGATCCTTTTCCTCCATTACCCGCGTTTGCTTCCTCGCGCCTGCCTTTCGCTCTGCACTTTCCCCGCGCCTGGTTTCCGAGCGATTCCTTCCCCCCCCCCTTTCTTTCTCTAGAGCATGGCGGTTGCCTTTTGTCTGCGTTTGATAAAATGTGCGGGCATGTGCACCTTTCGGATGAAGCCGAGGGCTTTGCTCACCTAGGTTCTCCCTCTTCGTCCCCGGTGGTCACCCTTCGGTACCTTACGTGCACTTTGAAATAACACAAACACACACACACACACACACACAGAGAGAGAGAGAGAGAGAGAGAGAGAGAGAGAGAGAGAGAGATTTATATATGTGTGTGTACGTATAGGAAGGGTGAAGTTGCATTAACCACTTGTGTGGCAATGCTTTCCGTCTGATTTCGTGCGGTGGGGTGGGTTTTTTTTTTCCCCTTCTTCCCCCTTTCCTCTCCTCCCTTTGCATCTGTGAGCAAGTGCTTGCCTCTTCCCCCGCCGCCCTCCTCGCGCTTCTTCCTCCGCGCGACGTGCGATCGAATTCCATTGATACATGCGGCTCACCTTAAAAAAAAGAAAAGAAAGAAAAAAGCCAGGCGGACGGCAATTCGAAAATATTCGAACGCGAGCATTTGCTCCGCCGCGGCTGCCAGCGCATCTTTAATAGCTCTCTTGCGAATTCGTTCATTCATTTTCTGGAGGGGAGAGGCCCCTAAGAGAACCGCCCTGGGTATTCTTAGAAACTTTGCTGGCAAGAACTGAATCCCGGACGTACTTCAGGGCAAATAAAGTGATCCTGAATTTACATCGCTTGTTCCTGGAATCAGAAGCCAGCCTTCAGGGATAAAATACCCGTTCATGTTTGACCAGATAACAAAAGGGGAAATGTACTGACTTTTGAAAGGGCATCGTTTAAATTTCCGTATAAGATTATAAAGAGGAAACAGCTTTGCATGTCTTCTTGGATCAGCAGATGGCATGTTGGGCACATTATAATTTTTCTCTTTATGCCTTTTCCTTAACTGGAGAGTAAAGTGATCATTACCTATCAAACACGTTTTTGGAATTAAGGGGAGTGGGGAACGGAACTAATGCTTGGAAAACATTTGGTTGTTTTTTTTTTTTTAAATGTATTACTGTTGTAGTAATACTACACAGTTGGGAGGAAAACTCGGTAGAACGTCCAAATCATTACTTTTAAGATCGCTGTTTTTTGCATTTTAAAATAGAAAAAGGTGAGAGAAGTTGTCAGATAAAAAGCTAGGTATGTGTTTGAAAAAAACACTTTTGTGGATACTGGCTTTTGTAATCTGGAGTTGCAGCTTGCTAACATTCTGTAATATTTTAAAATGGTGTTTTACATAAACGACTGTATATGTATGTGTTTGTATTTGAAGGAGTAAATTATCCCTATACAAGAACTCATAAGAGTCTGTTGGAAATATTTATCTGTACATGGTGCTTGGAAGTTTGTTATATTACAACAGAAAAAATATTTTTACATATTTCAGATGAGATAGTCATATAGTATAATAACGCTGCCGCTTGCTTGAGTGCTAAGATTGAAATTGGTTGACAGAAAGTCATTAATATTAGCAGCAGCAAACACATTTTGTCTGCTTTCTGTATTTGATTATTCTTGTATCTACTCTGTAAGTATTGCTTTAAAAAAAACCTTGGCTGCCACTTCAAGTTTTCCATGACTCTTCCAGTCATAATCTATTCTGGTCCCCAAGGTCTCCCTTTTTCATTTTCCTTTGCCACCTTCTTCTAACATAATTTATCACTCAAAAGTGATATTATTTATCAGCCTTCAAAATCAGCTCTAATATTTGACATCCTATCCTCTAGAGGGCAGCACTAGGAATAAGACAAAGATACTGTTGTATTTTACTACAATAGAGAGAAGACAGAAAAAAATATTTTATGTGCTGGTCCTGAAATATATCATGGCATGTTTCTAGCATGACATTTAAGGCAGAATGAGCTTAAGAAATCACTATGTTTATGGATGTACTATGTTTTATGGATTTTATACATATATTTTAGGAATTGGAATAAGGAACATTACATTTATGCACTGCTGGAATGGAGATTTAGGAAGTGAACAAATGATAAGAAATATTAATCTATGAGTTGATCATGAATTTAATAGTTCTATTAGGGATATAGTTTGGTATTCAGGCTGAAAAAAATTAATATACTGAAAGGGTAACATAACTGCGTGTCCCCCCCATGTTAGAAAAGAATATATTCATTTTTTTAGCCCCACAATTCTGTTTTTTAAGTGGGAGAAGAATGAGGTGAATGAAGTAGGAGTGGCTAAATAATACGATTTTAATAGTAGCACCTCTGAACATTACCAACCTAAAGTTCACAATGCAGACAAGATGTCTGATTTGATATTTTCACTTTTAATGGAGTTTCATTTTTATTAAAATGAAGTTTGGAGGATTATCAGTGCGATCCAGTGAAGCAGTGTAGCAGAATTAGATGTTTATCTCTTTCCCGTCACACCATTCTTCTTCATTATACAGTATAAGGTGTTGGAAGTTTGTCCTTTGGGTAGTTGTGAGAGCAATGTATGCACATACTTTTATAACGTGAGAATTTTCTTCCTCTTTATGAGGCAGTGAAAAGTGTCACAATGTTAGGAAAAATACTAAGACAGACTTTGTTTCATGTTCAGCAATATTGTAAAGCTTAGTACTTATGCCACAGCTTGCCTGGGCTATGAGGATTTGTAGCAATTTTGAATAGGAGTTTGTTGGAATAGCTATTGAATGTAACTTAAAGCCATATCAGACTAGCATTTTCTATATTGTGTGGCTGCTGCTAGGCTATTGGCAGAATCATTCTTAGGCACTGGAAGTAGGCTATATCTCAATATGTAACAATTCTACTATTTCACTCTTATGTGCATTTGTTAGATACAGTTGAAGTTGGAGTTAAGTGCAGCTAAAGTTCACTAAGCTAGAGAAGGCTGTTTTAGAACAGTCCTGTGTCAACTTTAAACTTGACTAAACACATTCATACACACATGGTTATTAGATCATTCTAGTCTGAAAATCTCATAAGTTGGTTGGCTTGTGAATTTGAAGAAATTAGGTTGATTTTCTTCTTTTGTAACACATCATTACCCTTATTTGTCTGAGTATTAAAATATTCCATATTCAAAGGATATCCATGAGGTTTTTTCCTGTCCTCTCTGTATGGCATACTACCTTTTGAAAACAGGTGGCCAACCCAACTAAGATAGAATGGTATACTTGCTGTTGAAAATCCATATCCACAGTATTAGAGCGCCATAAAACTGCTTGAAAGTTTGTAAACACCTGTATATATTAACCCACCAACTTTATGGTCATAATAGAAGCATCAAGCCTTCCTAATTCCTTTGCCTGAAAATTCTGCTTGTAATTTCCAACATAATTTTTAAAATATTTTTTTTTTCTCACTGAGATAACGCTAATGCAAATAAACCTGTAAAATTTATTTTTGACCAGCCTACCTCAGTTTGATGTCCTCCAAATATTTTAAGAAGGCTTCTAGAAATCTTAGGCAAAATTCTTATCACAACATAGCTGGAAGACACAATCTTGGGAAGCTGTCATTGGTCTCAAGAAAATGTAAAGATGTTGCATCAGTAAGGATTACTGTAATTATTATGCTTATGGAGAAAAAGATTAAGCTTATGTATAATGGATATAAATAGGGCATCTTAGTAGAAGGTTACTTTTTAATTGCATATCCTTTAGTACTGCTAATAAGTTAATATGAACACGGAAGTTTATTTTTTGTGGAAATTCTCAGTCATCCAGGTCATAGTTGTCTCAAAAGTGCTTTTTCAAAAGGCAACTGGAAAATATAAATAAACGGAAGTTTATTTTGTGGAAATGGTTTAAAATTCTGTTGTGCATGATATTCTACCCTCTAATTTAGCTTTTAAACTCATACAATAAAATACTCTGGCGATCTTGCTGACTTGGTACTTATAACTTTATGGTGACTTAATTGAGCCAGATATTGCAAAATCATGTAGCACATATCTAGGATTGCATACTTTGTTTTTTTAAGAAGTAAACATTTAGGTATTTTGTTAGTTACGCAAACTCAGATTTCACATATTTTTTCCTGCATCTCAAACCAAAAACCAGCAATGAGAAAGACAGAAGGAGAGGAAAGCAGCTTTAGGAAATAAGGGGAAATAAAAAAAACTAGGATCAGAGTTCAAAGCCTTAAACAAGTAGTCCAGATGTGAAATTTAATATAAGCATCATGGCTACTAAATATTATTCATCTCTTGACTGTCAGGTGAAATTATTTCTCCACACTTTGTGGGAACAAATTCTCGCATCATAATGCTTGCAGTAAGGAAAAAAAGATTACTAAATAATTATTTCCAATTTAACTACTAATTAATGGATTCAAAGTGACTGATTGGTACTTCAAGGAATAATGAGAACACAACTGTGTAAAGCTACTTCTATGCTGCAAGAGCCATAAATAGGTAATAATATTTTTATCTTGTTTTTCTACTTAAAAAGCACTTAAAGTAACCCAGTATTATGTGCTACCAAGTTGTTGTCAACTTTTAACAACTACATGGATAGATTTTATGATGATCTTTTTCTAACCTGGTCCTTCAAGTCTTCCAATGGTATGCCCATCACCACTGTAACTGTCCCAGGATGGGGATAATTGTCATAGAGTTAATCTATCTACTTAGAGCTGACATCAACATATAGCACATAATCTATCAATACAATAAACCACAGTAAGAATGCATGAACATCCACCAGTGATGAAATGTGTATCTAAACATAAACCATTTGACTTACATCTATGTGTTCAGTGCCAGATTGCTAGCACAAAAAGGGCAAGGTTTGTTTTATGACATCATGCTCATTATCATTTCCACTATTGTGATTACTTGGATGCCTGTCTTAAATATATGCTTGATTCTACCTACTGTATTAATTTCATTTGGGAAGCAGCAGCAAAGTCTTTTCAAAACTATTAGATGGGGAAGGCACTGGATTTGGGGATCATGTCCTCCTCTGAATTTAGAAAAGTGTTCTATTCTTTTCCTGAGTTGCTTACCATAAAACTTAAGATTTTAAAGCCCTTCATAGCATGGATCCAGGTTACTTGAGGAACCCGTCTCATCCCAATAGGACTTGCCTGCCCCATCCACACAGGCAGAAGGGGCATATTGTGGATCCTGGCAGTCAAAGAATTTCTGCTTGGTGAAGTTCAGGGGAAGAATCTTCTGTGCCAGTGGCTCCTGCCCTTTGGAATATTATCCCGAGATGGGATCAGCTCCTACCTTTCTGATCTTCTGCAAAAGCCTTAAGACCTGGTTCTATCAGATGGGGCCCCAATGTGGGAGCATCACACTGGAGATGATTGATTAATTAAGAACTAATCCCACCTCACACACCCCATCCGGCTCCCCCCTTCCCCATCCTGTGTCCATGATCTTACTTTGATGGTATTGTCATTTTATTGGGTTAGGAATATTTATTGTTGATTACGCTGTAAGCTACCAGAGTCACTTCAAAGTGAAATGGGCAGCAACTAAATTAAATCAATCAATCAATAAAATGAGGGCAAGATAATAGTTTGGCTTGGGAATCTTAAGCCTTGCCAATGCTCCATGGTTACTGTTTAGAACAAGATTGCTTGGGGGGGGGGAATTAATGTGTTTGTGACATCAGCAACCATTATACCAATCCCAACCCTTGAATCAGAATTCTCTGTACTTGTAAGGAATGACACAAAGAAACCTGAGACAATGCCTGCTGATGTCACCATGTACTTTTTACTGTCCATCTCACACTGTGTTAGAAGAAGAGAAGGAGGGAAGAGTTAGAGAGAAGAAGAGAAGAAGAAGAAGAAGGAGGAGGAGGAGGAGGCGGCAGGAGCATGAACTTTGGATAAAGTCATAGATCAAAGGCAAGGGGCTAAACTCAAAGGGATGAAGAAAGGGGAGTGGAGTGGAAACAGAACTAGCTGGATCGTTTACTCAGATAGTTCAGTTATAGCTTTAGTCATCATTCTTCATAATATTGGCATAACATTTATGTCAATTACTCATGGATGCAAAAGCCAAAAACAGGGAGTAAGTGCCTTCATTCCTTGGAGGTGATCAGAGATATAAAGGCTTCATTCACAAATCTCCCAAGTGCTTTTTGAAAATAGGAGTGAAGGAGTTGGGTCTATACAAATTTGGAGCTAATTATTTCTGTTAATTATGCCAAGTTGTTCACAGTTCTTGAATTGTGAGCACTGTAGTAATGAACCAGTCTATTCCTATAATAAAGGTAGCATTGGAAGGATCTTTAGATCATGACGGAGATTATTCATATCATAAGAAGCTTATACTTTTCTTTACCTTACGTGTGTGTGTTGATATCTTCAGTTAACAATTACAAAACATCCAGGGTTATCTGTAAAAGCTCTGTTACAATATCAGCAATGCATTTACTACTCTTACTTCATTTATTTGTTCTCTCAGTCATTCATAGGCTTAATATTATGAATTAGCTCAGAGACCTATGTATAAATAAGTTATGATTCCAATTAACATTTGAGCTCATGAGTAAACTTTTATCTATCCAATGATCATATGTAACTAGCTTTATAGCTGCCAGATTTATTGAGAAGGGTATGAATAGCTAGAAATATAATTGTAGGCTAGATCATAATGCAAAGTGAACTACATAAAATGGTAGTAATCATGTTCTTTGTGTAGCAACTCATGATAGTTTTAAGTTTTGGTTAATTTTAGTGTTGCTATTATGGACTGCTGCTGAATTTTATTATTTAACATACATTTTTGTGCCAGGAGTAAGCAATAAGCATGGTGAATATGTGAAACTGTTGTAGTGGTGACAAGAGATATGATTCTCTTAAGTAACCTGTAAATATACAGGGTAGGAATTTTATGTTTTTGGTTATCCATTGATTGGAACTTGAATTGACAGTGTTATGAGAAGAGGACTGCAGTTTCAACTACTCTTGGTTTCAATTATTTTTAATTTATTTTATTTTTGTATGATATCCTATGTGCTGAGTATTAAATGGCATTTGGAGAAATAGAAACATCTGAAAGCAGTACTGTACTATGATCATTTAAAATATAGTCAGAACATCAGCTTTAGATAAAAATTTAAGGTAGCATATTGACTGAAAAATTCTGAGAATCACAATTGTGGCTCATCTTGAACGTCTAATTTATGGAAAATGGGAATGAAGGATAATAAATTTGTTATTCTTTCAGTATCCTTGTACCATAACATTATTCAGTGGTTTATCTAGGCATAGGTAGTCCTTTATTTATGACTCTAATGGAGTCTGCCCATAATGGTCATAAGTTGTGACAGTTATAAAGCTGGTTGGTCATGTGATTGACCCAATTTTACAACCTTTTACAGTTAAGCAAAACCATGATCATTAAATGAACACCACGATCATTAAGCAAACCGGTATGATTTTGCCAAAAACCAGAAGTGCTGGTATTCAACAAAATAGTCATAAAATGTGGATCCATAACTGTGGGACACAGGAAATGGTTTAAAAGTGGTAGGAATAGATAGAGGCAATGTTCAGAAATACAGGATTTTGTGCCTGCTGTTCTCATAATTTCTCAATGATCATTGGCTTGGATTGATTGGAACTGGAGTAGGTAGACTCATAGGTAGTTAGCCAAACTATGGAATGAAAGGGCAAAGTAAAAAGTATTTTGTTAGCCAACAGAATTCTTGAGAAATATTTGTAGACTCTGAAAAGCAATCTCTCATGCCAATCTCTTGTCTTTCTGGTAACCTTTTAATTTTTCTGTCTTAATCCTCTAGAATTTGTAATGTAGGAGGGGTGGATTTCAAGAGGTATTTGTTCCACAGACCAAACATGAAGATAATTTATTCAAATCAGACCCCTGACAAGAGATTGAAACTTTTGCTGTTTCACTCACAGATCTTAGTAAACTAGAAAGAAGCTGTAAAGTTGTCAGCATTTAACTTTTAAGTAATATAGGTAGTCTTCGACTTACAACTACAATTGAGCCCAAAATTTCTGTTGTTAAGTGAGACAGACATTAAGTGAATTTTTCCTCATTTTACGACCTTTCTTGCCACAGTTGTTAAGTGAATCACTGCAGTTGTTAAGTTAGTAACAGGATTGTTAAGTGAATCTCTTTTCCCCATTGACTTTGCTTGTCAGAAGGACGCGAAGAGGATCATACAACATGGGGACACTACCCGTCATAAATATGAATCAGTTGCCAAGTGTTTGATTTTTAATGTGACCATGGGGATGCTGCAACAGTTGTAAATGTGAAAAATGATCATAAGTCTGAAGGCAGGGCAAGAAGCAACAGATGGAAGGAAACTAATCAAAGAGAGAAGCAATCTAGAATTAAGGAGAAATTTCCTGACAGAACAATTAATCAGTGGAACAGCCTGCCTCCAGAAGCTGTGAATGCTCCAACACTGGAAGTTTTTAAGAAGAGACTGGACAGTCATCTGTCTGAAATGGTATAGGGTTTCCTGCCTGAGCAGGGGGTTGGACTAGATGACCTCCAAGGTCCCTTCAAACTATTATTATTATTATTATTATTATTATTTTCTAGTCCACTGGTAGTTCCCCAGTGCTCCAGGATCTTTGAAAAATATAGTTCAGTGGTTCTATGATCACATCTGCCAGTTCCTTGAACACCTTGGTGTGTAATCCACCTGGTCCTGGTCATTTGAACTCCTCTAGGCTAGATAGGTGCTCACTTACCATTTTCTTGCCTATCTTAACTTGTGTTTCTAATCTATTTTTATGGTACTGTTTTTGAAAAGTTAAACTGTTTGTTTTTTTATTATTTTTGACTTTGGCCACAAGACTTAGTTCATTTTGAGCCTTAGCTTTCCTCACCTCATCTTTGCAGGCTCAGACTATTTGCTAACATTCTGCTTTAGTTATGTGTAACTTGTAACTTCAAACAGTCACTAAATGAATGTTTGTAAGTCAAGGACTACCTGTACTTGAGCAGGAGGTAAAAGCCAAACTTTTAGCAGGTGGTGCTATGAGAAAACTCTTAACACTAAAGAGACTCTATCAAATAGATATTTCTAGATGAAACGGATGAATTGATTTAGAATAAGGTAGTTTCCACTAATCTTGATCTTTTCGTTCTAGAAAAAAGCTTGTAAAAAACAAAGGTCACAGAAAGCAAGGGGGGAAAAAGTCTTCTATCATATTAGGTAGAATAGTATTGGAAATAAAGATTTCATCTTGAAATCAACCTAATTTTGAGATGGTTTTCCAGAATTTCATGCTGGCATATTACATTAATGTAGGACATTAGAGAAAATTATGGTTTTACAGTCTTTAGCTCTAGCTGTTTATTAAATTGCTACTTAACTTATGCCCAAATGGTCTTCATTTGTTTTCCCCCATTTGCATCATTATTTTGCTTTGCTTTGTTTTATCATTTTCTGTTCTGTTTTGTTTTATTTCATTTTTTTTCTTTCTCTGAAACAGGAAGAGAAAATCCTTTCTGGAGATACTCCTTTTCATGTAAGTGTTTTTATGCTTGTTAATAAAAACATTGTAACACTAGTAATATAATTTTAAATATTCAGAATCCAGACATTTATCATCTGCTCATAGAAAGATAATAAAATCCATATCCCCAATATACACATCTATGATATAGAGCTGAAAACAGTATTTTCAGATCTCTTAGAACTCTTTACCCAGTCAAAGTCTAGTCATTTACATGCCTATGTATCTAGATTGAGTCATAATCAGAAAGTGGCTGCAAGATCATTCATATCTTGCACATAATTTCCACAACATTACCCAATTTTTGTGTCTGTAGATAGCCAGTTTACCAGACCTCATATTAACAAGCCGGTGTGTGTTTCTTGCCTAAAGTTACAGTCCAGTATACCCCATTTATATGTTTGGAGGACCCAGTATACTTTAAGAAATTTATTTCTGAACCAACACGATAAGGTTGTGCTGAAATCCTAAATATACTTACTTCAGTGGAACTTAATCCTGAATAAACTTTCTTAAGATTGCACCACAAGAGACTATTCAGTGGCAATAGAACAAATCAGCAAATTTGGCTAAAATGTGCTTTATTTTTTTAAGTTCTTCTCTGTTTGCAAAGTTCCTATATGGATAAGACTTCAAGTAATACTCCACAGCTCCTTCTATAATTTATCATATTATATAATGTATATATCAACATTTAGCAGCCTCCCTAAATAGATACACCCAGTAAACTATAATCAGCCTGTTGATTCACAGTTAACAGGACACCACAATTTAACTAATGTCGAGCAAGCTGAAATAGGACCTCGTGTTGTGTATTTAGGTAATGTTCTCACCACAAGGTTGTGCTAGAGAGCGGTTCAGTGGCTTATTTTGCATTGCACCTAGAGAAAACAAAACACCAAGCTGTGGTAAACATAAATTTATTTAAGGCATTTTCTCTTGATCTTCAGATGAAAAAGCTCTCCAAATGACCCTATTAATAAACAGAACAAGTTGTCTTTGACTTGTGGCTTGGAATATAAAAGATATGACAAAAAAAATCAATGTGGGATGCCAGAAAGGAGTTAACACACTTGTTTGCCAGTTTTGGCTTAGTTGTACATTTTGACAAGTTGTGAAGTGTTTTCTTCATGGGAACCTATATATGTGTAGATGAACCCATGGGATTTTGCCATTCCCCTTGAACAATTACAACTAATAAGTTCATATACATCTTGGGAATGATTTTTGCATTCAAACTAAAAGCCATGTGTTTGGAAATGCATCATGTGTACTTCAGTCATGGAAAGATTTCTCTTAAGTTTAAATATATTTCTTTGATAAAGGTAAATTGGCTTTGGAAAATAAAATTATGACAGCAATTGTGGTATAGAGGTTCTAGTTTTATATCATATTCTGTATGTGCACCGTACCTAACCTAATGGAAGCTCAGATACAATTTTGTTGCTTTTCATTTTTTTAAATTAATTCATTAGCAAGAATGGTAACTTACATTTCCATAACAGATTATTCAAAAAGTTGCTCAGGAACAAGGGTCTTTGCTTTTGTGGAGCTAAAGTTTTACTTGACTTAAGAATAAAAGCAACTTGTAGAGTGCACACTTATGTTTAATTGTTACTGTGCTGGGTACTACCAGTGTTTGCAAAAATGTATTTGCAAACTTCCTTCAACCTGACAATCTGTTTGGGTTTTGGAGATTCCTGCAATGGGAGAAGTAGTAAGGGAGAGCTTTCTCCTTTTTCAGGAGCTTTCATCATTCTTACATTATTGATTATGCATTTATTGTTCATAATTATAAAATGTCCATACAATGTATTCTCTAGGTATTATACAAAATAAAATGTTATAATACAACCTATGTCATACCATAGGTTAAATGTACACCTAGACCACTGTTAGCCAAAGTACAGAACTGGATGATAGAAGCTGGTTTATGTTCTTCTCTACTGCTCTGGTTTTCCATCCACTGCCATTTTCTGGGAATGTGCAGAGGCAGCTTCTGCCTTCATTTGACACCACTTCAAGGGGGTTTCCACACAGAGATAGTGTGCAAAGCCCTAGTGTGTAATGTGCAGTGTGCAAAGCAACCATTAAACAATTAGTGATAGTACCAAACGAAGGGGGGGGGGGTTAAAAGCTAAAATAGTGCATCTCTACCATTTTGCACCATTTCCCTTAATATAAGTAAGAAGACTATTTTTTTTTTCTCAACAGCACTGATTTCATAATATAAAATTGGAAAGTAATCTTGCTCCCTATCATGGAGTTTTTAACGAAGATGTTGGCACTTACAAATGCAGGAACAGAGGGGGAGGGTCTCTGTATTTCTTCATTTTGTTTCATTAACTTGTGGAATGACCTAAAAAGGCTTCCATACAAACCCACTGGTTTTTGAACAGGCTGCAATGGAGAAACAAGCTCTCCTATAATTCAGACCCAACTTTATCAGTCTTACTATGCAGTAGTTCTGGATAATAGAGGCCACAAAGCAGAGATATGAGGAGGAGAGGACAGTATACTGTATGCCAGGTTCCGTACCCAAAGCTTGTGGTACGTTCTCACCGAACCAGTGCATTATTAGGACTGCCTCTATACATTGGTGAAAGAAAAGTGTCTTCCCTCATTCAAGATAGCTTAATCACAATTCCTAGTCGGTCTGGAAAGTGAACTGGCTGGTTTTCTCAGTATCCTTAGTAAGAACTTTAGAATGTAGATAATTAACGATCACACAGTGTGCACAATCTGTTCTTTCTAGTACAATAGATGGTAGGGTGTGTGCATAAATGAATTTTCTTGAATTTAACCTGGATTTGCTTCCTTAGATCACACTGCCACTGAAGAAGCATGGAAAGGGCAAACCCAATGTTACTGAGCACAATAGGGTTTTTTTTATACTTCCTCCTCTCACCTTCCTGGAGCACATACTGTTTAATTAGACTAATTTAGAGTAGGTTGAGAAAGAGAAACATTTAGCCAAAGGAGGCAGTGATAAATCCATTTCATATGCCCTGTATTTAATAACATCAACATAATAAGAGTAGCTTAGCAATTCAAGAAAATCAGTTGCAAAGTTAAAATAGAAACATAGTCTCTAGGTCCATGCTTGATGTACCAATTCAGACTGGGCATGGTTTCTTCCAATTATTAACTAAGATTCAGCGGCAGAGTTTTAAAATTATTTTATAAGAGACAAATGAAATCCTCATAGGGTCTGCTCTCAAATGGAAGGCTATTATTTATAAGTATGCCAAGTAACAAAGCTGGCAGGAAAAAGAAAAGTTATAAATCTACCTTTCTGCTTTCTATGAGGCCCTTGAGAGATGTAGAAATATTGTGCTGGCTTTTCTTAATATCTTGTATACACACATACACATTCTCCATTACAAAGCCTGGGACTACAGGCTTCTATAGTTTCATATGTTTGCTGCCTTCAAACCACCTTGAAAATGGTCAATATAGAAGATGGAAACTTCAGTTTTAGGAATATTTATTTATTTATTTATATCTCATTTATATAGTTGTCCATTCACAAGCAAATGATTCTGAGTGATGTACAACGTATCTGAAAAGGAGTACATGTCTAGCAGTCATATATTGCTAAGCTTTATACTTCTCTTTAGGATCTTCAATTTAGCAGGCAGAATACATTAGCAGCTTTCAAGCATTTGCAAGTTGCAGTACATTAGTTTAACAGTTCCCAGAATCCTTGACCAGGAGATAAAATTCTAGTGATATAAAACAGACTATATTTCAGTTAAAAAAATATATTTTTCTTTGCACTTGGTTTCTCATTAAAACCCATCCTTGTGTAACTGTAGGGTTCCATGGAATATAATTTTAGCCCTAGAATAGGTCATCTTTATATTTAAAAGAATCATAGTACAGTAGCCTTGAATAATCCTGCATCATAAATGCCATATTTTTTAAATCTAATCTGTAGACCTACAAGGATTCTTTAATCTCTAAGGCAGGAGGCCTTTGATATGTAAAGGCTACATAAGCCAAAAGACCCAGTTCAGTTGAGGAAATCAGTTGAAGAAAGCTATCACAAGCAAGTCTCAAGTGTTTATTCCATATCAGCCTATTATATTAAAATGGATATGCATTAAAATGCACATCAAAAACATGACACCTTACCTATTTGCATTTAGATGCATATGTTAGAAGCACATCTCAGTAAGCATTTCATTTGAAAGCAGTGAAGGGCAGATATTCTACATAGAGGTCTGGATGTACATGGCAGTTAATAACAATAATTGGTGAATCAGAAGTAATGCATCAGCAAACAAAAAAAACAGTATAAAGACTCAATTTATGCAGTCCATATATGTATAATCTTTGGACTGCAAACAATACAGTACATCAACATTATTGCTGTGGTACCTTGCAGTAATGAAAATCAAATTGGAAATGCCAATGGTTAGTTCTGTATATGTGCACAACCTATATAAGGTAATATTTCACATAGATATTTCTTCCTGCTCATAGTCTCTTCAATATAAATGATATAGTTCTTTGGCTCTTTTTAACTGCTATGGCATACATTTTTAAGCAGGGAATAAATGAGTTTGGAAAATTACATAGGGATATCATCAACCTTTAAGCTTGTTAAAATATTTATGTTTCATACCATAACTTGAGAAAATATAGAGCTTATATATATATTATTTATTTATTAAACTTATATGTTGCTATACTCACCATCAAAGTGACTCTGGGCTTTTTGTTTTGTAATAATTAATTTTAAGAAAGCTCTGTATCCTTATTAATCTTCAATTGGGGATCCAGGAATACTGAAGACTTTAGCTCCTGACAGAAGTAGGTTTTCCCAGACTAGGGACCTTGGGATTGCATTTTTTTATAAGAAGAGTCGCATCAGAGTTAGTCCTGGAGTGCAGTATTTCTTAATGTGCAACTCCATAAGGGGGAAGTTGATTGCTCAAGGCCATCACCGATATTATTTTAATTGCAATGCTCAGAAGGATCCATCTTTCTGTGTTCATTTGCTGCAACAAATACTACCAACATTCATTACTTTCTATCAGTGTCTTACCCTATGGAGGAACCAGCCCTGCCCATCCACATTGAGGAGGGAATAGACGTTCTGACTGGTGAGTGCAGCTAAGGTGGGGTGCTTGTGAAATTGGGGGAGGCATGCTGATGCAGAGAGCTTGAGACCTTGTTTTTGTTATGTATTTGGGAAATTTAGGAATGTTTTCCATAAACATTTTAAGTAGTTTTTTGTTTTTCCAAAATGTGCTGTATTGGCAGGACCAGTTTTCAGTTCTTCAGTTCTCAGAAATGTTTCACCATGACCAATCTTCCACTATGATCACACTACACACTGATCTGTCATTACGTACCCTTGCAGACTGTCATAATTTTACTGTCTGTATAAAGAATATAGCCATTTTTGTTATTCAAATATACAGAGATAGATGTATATTAATAGAAAGACATCCAGACAAATGGCTATGTTGATTTGAAGACTAACTTGTTTTGAATTGCTTGCTCACACCTCTTTAAAACATATTTGCATGTTAACATATTTTTCTTGGGCAAATCTTAAGAAATTAGATCCCTTTTGCAACCTTCTGACAAGCAAGGTCAATGGGGAAACCAGATTCACTTAAGAACTGTGTTACTAATTTAACAACTGCAGTGATTCAATTAATAAATGTGGCAAGAAAAGTCATAAAATGGGACAAAACTCATTTAACAAATTTCTCACTTAGCAACATAAATTTGGGGTTCAATTGTGGTTGTAGGTTGAGGACTATCTGTACAGCCAGTAACCATATTTTTAATGAGAAACCTTGTGCCTGTTTCTCTGACATTAATTTTTGCACTGTTCTATCCCCTTCTCTCCTGGTTGACTCAAAGAAGCCTCTCCTCTTCTCTGTCTCTTTTTCTCCATCCCCTTCTCTTTCCCCGTTGTCTGTTTTTTCTCTCCCTTTCCCTCTGAAATTACCTTCTTTTATATCCTTTCCTCTCTCCCCCTCCTCCTTTTCTGTTTGATATAGCTATAGATGACTTTTTTCCCCCAAGGCTGTGCGTTTCTCCTTCTCTGTCCTCTTCTCTTTCCCCATTGGGTTTTCTCTCTCCCTTTCCCTTCAAAACCTCCTTTTATATCCTCTCCTCTCTCCTCCTCCTTTTCTCTTCAGTGTAGCTGCAGCTGACTCCTTTCCCCAGGGCTGTGCGCTATTTCCGGAAGCGCCAATCAGCTAGAGCCCCGTGTGGATCCTGGGTGCTCAGCAGAGCCCCGGCAACACTGTAATTCCAGCTGACTCTCCAGCAGGCCTGTGCGGCATTGCCATTGCTTCAGTTCATCTCCGCGTTACACTTTTACACTTTTTTTTAACAGTGCTTATGTCGTATGTGTACCACCTGCCAGGTGCCAAAGTACCACCAGTGGTACAGGTATCACGGGTTGAAAAGCACTGCTCAAGAGCATACTGTTCTTGTTCTAGAATAAACAACTCAATTGTTCTGAATTCCATAATTAAAAACATAGTATTGGGCGGGGGGATAAATGACCTATTTCATTATTTGGAGATTTATTTCAATATTTAGTTATCTATATTTTAATCCAGACACCTGTTCAAAGTATTTCATAGAATATACTACAATTGAAGGCAAAAAGAGTTTTATTTCTGATATCTGCCTAAATTGTTTTATGCTTTAATGTTTTCTTATTTCCTGCCAAAATTAATGTGTATAAATGATTTTTAAAGTAGAAAAGTACTCTTTCAGTCCATCTAGTATTATCAAAGTATTATCTTTAGCCATGTGATAAAAATGAGAGTTACTCAGAAATTAATTTATATGCCCTAGATTATTTTATCATTTACCTTGGAATCTGAGACTTAGAACGTAGAATTTCATATGAACAGACACTGTATGACACTTATTTAGCTTAATAGTGAAATAACAGTCTTTTTATCCTTTCTTCACAAGAAACCATTGCAAATCTTTGATATTTCTTATCGATTTCTATATATGAACTGTAAGAAATCTGCAAGATTTTAGTTCATGATATAGTTACATTTGATATGTATTTTATATTTCTTGTCTATATTGTTTTGGTATTATTTGTTTTAGTATTTTTCATTCCAAATAGTTAGAAGCTAGTTTTACTGTAATCATATAATTTTATTCAGATTCATATTAATTTTTCCTATAAAAATACAATCAAAATATGCATATTTTTCCTTTTAAATGTGAATTGAGAGTACTTTGGCTTGCTGGAAAGCAACAGGAAACCCCACAAAAACTGTTTATTTCATATAGCTAACTGTCTCCTATTCCTCTTCTTCTTCCTTTCTTTCAAGATTCATATTATGCAAGAAAATTGGTTTATTTGTATGCGCATAAAATATTAGTGTCTAAGATTTTAATTTCAATTTTTTGTTTATATAAAATTTTGCTTGGCTAATGCAGCTGTTATTCCTACTGTATAACAAAATAGTTAAGAAACTATAAGTATTTCCATTTCCTGATAATGTCATTCTCAGGTACATAGCAGAGGGATTTTCTACAATCTTTTGCTTTGTATACCCATGAAATTAACTGTAATGTGTCTGCATGCTTACTGAGTGCAAATTGCCTGTGTGCAATTAACACAAACTAAATATAATGATGGCAAAATCATTCTGAACTCAGATGGAACTGGAAAAAGAAAAATTGAAATAATATTCATTAAGATTAATCTTAGTAATATTTCCAACATTATTGAAAATGAAGGATAAGTTGCCCTTTTAAAAACATACCTCAATTTGCAGAACATAGTAAGCCGAAATAACTGCATATTTTTTACTTCATCAAAAAACAAAAAAATTATCAGTTATCTAATATTTCCTGTTACCATTCTGAAATGTAAAGCATTTTTTTTTAAACTGGCCTTTTATTTGTTGTCAAAGTTTTATTAGGTATATTATGCTGAAGATTGTTCCTGATAGTGAGAACAATCAATGGGACAGTTTGTCTCCAGACGCTTTGGGTGCTCCTTCACTGGAGGTTTTCAAAGAGACTGGATAGCCATTTGTCACGAGTAGTATAAGGTCTTCCGCTTGAGCAGGGGGGTGGATATAAGATATCCAAGCTTCCTTCCAACTCTATTATTCTATGTTATTCTATTGTTTTATTATTTTAATGTACAGAGAATTATATAGAAAAATTTAAATTCTTAGGAATTAAGGAAAATCTGGTTTTAATGTGTTGTAAGAACATGAGTAGTTTAAGAGTGCAAGAAAGATGATATGGGGACTTGAGACATCCAGTAAAAAAAAAAAAAAGGCTGGAGCAACCTGAGATGGTCAGTTCTAAAGAAGAGAAGGCCCGGGACACATGATGGCCACCTTCAAATATGCACAGGGAAGCTATAGGGAAGAAGTTCAGGAACTATTTTCCAGGCCATAAAAACAAGAGCATTTTCATATAAATTCCCCCTACCTAGGTTTTGTTTAAATATAAAGAATAACTTGATGGTAAGATATATATTTTAGGAAATGACTGGGTAGGGTCTGAGGGCAGGGTCAAACACATTATCAGTCTGGAGTCCTAAACTCTAAAGAGACCTAACTCCAGCCCCCTTGATGTCTATTGACTCTTACTTAGTGCCTATTTTCCTTCACTGTTACTAGATCAGATTCTTGTAGAGCAGTGGCTCCCAACCTTTTCTATACTCCGCACCCCTAGAACACTTCTGATATATTCTTGCACCCCTTGCAAAAGTTCAAAATAACGACAACAAATTATGCATATACACTATAATTTTGAAAACCCAAGTTTTTGCACCCCCTGGAATATCGACTGGTACCCCCAGGGGGGTGCAAGCACCGTGGTTGGAAACCCCTGTTGTAGAGGTTGCATGGAATAAACTTGCACTGATTTGAACTCTTCGTTTCTTGTGCCTGTGATATACAGTGGAAATGTCTTTCTATGAATGTTATGGCTTCTCCATCTCTGGAGGGATTAAGAAGTGGCTGAATAGCTACTGATCATGAATATCTTTTCTTCCACAATGTAGAAGATTGAATTAGACAATCTTCATGGTCTCTTTTAATTTTATAATTCTGTGAATGTATGAAGGATTATTATTTGGTGATTAAAAAAATATCTGCATCAATGAAATCCACCAGGCAATTTAGAGTTAAATTGTATACCACATAAAATATGCAGGTTTAGCTGCCCCTGTGATTTGTATTTAGAAGAGGAAGTGTAAGTTGTTTCTCCTGTGCATTGAAGTAATATGTGAATTCTGTAAAACAAGATTAAACTTCCCCTTCCATTTTGCAGTCTTAATTTGGATTGGTATAATGTTCAATTAGCACAGCGGTTCTCAACCTATGGGTTGCGACCCCATTTGGGGTCCATCGACCATTTTCCGGGGGTCGCCAAAGGCGGCGATCTGCCATTTTCTCCCCTCCGGGGGCGCCGCCGCGCATGTGCACCGCGCATGGGGGCGGTGCCGTGCCCCCGGGGGCGGCGCCGCGCATGCGCACCGCGCATGGGGGCCCGCCCCCATCTGCGCCACGCATGCGCATAACGTTTGTGTGACGGGGGTCGCCGTCACACAAACGTTGAGAACCGCTGAATTAGCATGTAAAATTAAGACACAGGTAGCTACAGTATTTTAACTTAACATCTGAATAAAGCTATAGAAGATGAGAACATGTCTTTCACTCCAGACATCTTCAGATACATTTATTATAGAAATTCTTCAATGAGTACTAGAAGAGGCAAACATAGACTATTATATATGTATAAAGTACACTATAAACTATAAGGGAAACAAGATATCAACAAAAGATAGCTGTAGGCATCTGTGGGAGCGTGGAGACAAATGGTTAAATTACATAATGGTGCAAATAACACCAATTAGTTGGATCAAATGTTGGGATGCAAGTATGGAAGCACAGAGATTGTGTCATGGTGTCCTCATCAGTGTTGCCATTTTGTTGAAATTCTGGTTTGCTGAGAATATCAGTGATCATAGTTATTATTTCTATTATTTCTTTTGTTTGGAAAAGGACAAGTAGTCCCATGGCAGCATTTGTAACAGCAGGATTATATAATTTGTAGCATGTTCTCTGTAGAAGCATTATGGTCT